AAATCACATTTTTATATATAAGAATTCAAAACAAAGAAAATTAACAGAAACAAAAAAGGACATTACATAAAGTATCCATCCACCAGAACATATAGCAACCCTAAATGTCTAAGTACTAAACAACCAGCTACAAGACAGGTGAAGAAAAAAACCGACAGAACTAAAAGGGAAGAGACCAGTTCACTACAGTTAAAGAGATTTTAATATTGCTCCATTAACAATTTATAAAAACTATTAGAAAATCCCAAGAATTCAGAACTGAACAACAATAATAATCAAGGATCTAATGTTTAGAGAACATTCCACCCAACAGCAGCAGAACACACATTATTTTCAAATGCCCATAGAACCATTTCCAAGATACAGCGTGATCTAAGCTAAATAACAAACGTTAACAAACGTAAAGGTACTGAAAGCATACAGAGTCCATTCTTCAACCACACAAAATAATACTAGAAATCAATAACAGAAAGATAACAGGAAAATCTCCAAACACTTAGAAGTGAAGCTTCTTCTTCTTTTTTTTTTTTTTGCAGTACAGGATTGAACTCAGGACTTTGCGCTTGCGAGGCAGGTGTGGTGCCACTGAGCTAAATCCCCGGCCCAAAGCAGTATACGTCTAATCAAATCATGGGTCAAGGATGACATCTCAAGCAAAAATGTTTAAATATACTGAAATAAATGAAAATCAAACTACACCAAGATAAATTTGCAAGATACATTTAAAGAAGTGATAACAAGAAAATTTATAGCACTAAATGTTATAATACAGTGAGGATGTCTACTTTAACTACTTTTATTCAACATAATGCTGGAGGACCTAGCTTGTGAAATAAGCTAGAAAAGAAGAAAAGTCTTCAATCAATAATCCAAGTATCTATCACAAAAAGAAGTGCAAAATAAACCTAAAGTTAGCAGACAGAAGGAAATGGTAAATGAAAGAACATGTATCCATAAAAGTGAAACAGAAAATTAACTTTTAAAAGTACTGTTCACTGGTCAATAAAACCGACAAACTTAGTTCAAAGAAAAATGAGAAGAAAAACAAAAAAAGAAAAATGAGAAAAGACACAAATTCCCAAAAACAGGAATGAAGAGGATATCACTATATAGCCTACAGATATTAGAAAGCTAAAGGAGGGCCAGGGCTGTAGCTGCTCAGTGACACTGTGCCTGCCTGGCAAGCCCAAGGTCCTGAGTTCAATCCCTGGTACAAGGGGTGGGGGTGGGGGAGTTGAGAAAAAAAAAGAAAGAAAGCTAAAGGAAAAAATTAACAATTATACATATGAAAATTTGAAAACTTAGATAAAATTTGCCAGTTTCTCAAAAACTATAGACTGGGCTGGGGAATGTAGCTCAGCAGTACTGTGCCTGCCTGGCAAGCGTGAGGTTCTGGGTTTAATCCCCAGTACCTCAAAAAAAAAAATTACAGACTACCATAACTCACTCAATATTGAGTTATATATATACATATATAGATATATAGATATAATAATATATACACAATTTTTTAAAATAAAATTTTATTCACAACTTTGAAACAAAAATTCGACTGCTCAGCAGCACTGCACCTGCACAGCAAGCACAAGGTCCTAAGTTCAATTCCTGATACCAGAAAAAAAAAATCCAGGACCAAATGGCTTGAGTGGAGAATTCTAACATTTTCATGAAAAATTAACACTAATTCTATAGAGTATCTTAAAAAAAAAAAGAGGAAACACTTTCAACTCATTTATGGAGCTAATACTATCCTGATACACAACCAGACAAAACTAGTACAAAATCAAAAATAAAACAAAAGCTATGCACCAATATCCCTTATGAATGTAGATACAAAAATATCCCTCACAAAATATTAGCAAATCAAAATCAGCAATATATAAAAAGAATTATATACCACAAAGTAAAATTTATCCTAAGAATCCAAATCTGGTTCAATATTCAAAAATCAGTGTAATCTATTACGTGAACAGGGTAAAGAAAAGAATTACAGTTAACAATACAGAAAAAAATCTGGCAAAATTCAACACCCATTCATGATTTTAAAATAATTCTAGGAAAACAGGAATAGAGGGTACTATCACAACTCATTAAAGACCATCTATAAAAGACTACAGCTGAGCTGGGGATTTAGCTCAGCAGTGCGCCGCCTGCCTTGAAAGGGCAAGGTCCTGAGTTCAATCCCCAGTACCAAGAAAAAGACAACAGTTAACAATATATTTAGTGGGGAAATACTACATACTTTCCTCTTAAAATCAGGAATACAGTGAGGATGCCTACTTTAACCGCTTTTATTCAACATAGTAATGCTGGAGGATCTAGCTTGTGAAACAAGACCAAAAAAAAAGAAATAAAGCATACACACATAGAAAAGAATAAAAGTGCCCCTATTTGCAAATGGCATGATTGTCTATATAGAAAACCCTAAGAAATTTACAAAATCTCCAACCATTAAGTGGGGACACAAATTAAGCATACAAAAAACACTATATATTTACTACCAATGAACACAGATACAGAAATTAAATTACAATACCATTCACAATCACTCAAAAAAATGAAATACGTAGGTACAAATCCAACAAAGAAAGTACAGAGCTTGTATCCAAAAAACTACAAATAGTGATGAAAGAAATCAAAGATCTACCAAGATACATCATGTAAAGGTACAAGATCCCAATGATGAATGCAACTGTATTATATACCTAAAATATACCAATAAACTTAACAAAAGAGTATTAAAAAATTTTTTTAAAAGAAATCAAAGATCTAAAAGAATGGAAAGACATAGCATGTTCATGGGCTGAAAGACTCAACAAAGTAAGGATAGTGATTCTCCCCAGGTTGCTATACCGGTTTAACACAATTCCTACCAAATCCCAAACAAGATGTTTATAGATATAGGCAAGGTAGAACAATTTTGAAAAATAGAGCAGAGAGCTGGAGGTGTAGATCATTGGTAGAGAGCTTGCCTAGTATACACTGAGGCCCTGGGTTCCATCCCCACCTCACACACACACATACATGCACGCACACACACACACACACACACACACACACACACACACACACAGAGCATGGAAGAGATCAGCCCAACTTCAAGAGTTGTAAAATAGCTACAATAATTAAGGTAATATGGTATCAGTGAGTAAACAATACATAGACTTGATAACAGACTATGGATCTCAGAACACAAGAGAAACTCCAGAAATACACCAACAAAATATCCCCCAAAGATTTTCTTTTTAATGGTACTGAGAACTGAACCCAAGGCCTTGGCACTAACATACATTACTCACCCTTCCCCATTTTTGAAACAGGGTCTTCCTGAGCCACTCAGGCTGGGCTCATACTTGTAATCCTGCTTCAGCTTCCCAGAGAGCTGGGATTACGGGAAAGTACCACCAGCTCGCCAAATGGCTCTTGACAAAGGTGCAGAAGTAAGTCAATGGAGAACATACAATGAATGACATGAATGATGCTGAATGATATGAATGATAAGCGATGGAGTTAAGTGGACACCCACAAGTGAAAAGCCAAAGCTTGACCTAAGTCTACAAACTTTACAGAAGAGTTAACTCAAAATGGACCATGGTTTTAAATATAAGATACAAAACTATGATT